GCTTCAGGACTGATCGTCCAAAACCCTAGGTCCAGGATCCCTAACAATGGGTCTCTCATTAACGTTGGCTTAATGCCCTGGTCCGATCAGCAAGGCTGATTTAACTCAATCACAATCATGTGCACTACTTCCACTTTTGTTGTTTGATGTGCTGGAACCTCTTGTTGGTTCTGTTCATATAAGGCAGCCTAATTTGATTAATCTCTGGAGTTCCATCTGTCTTAATACCCTTCAATTTCATTAGGGTTATAGTGTAATATAGGATTTCATTTTCACATGTCATTGTACTATATATAAGACAGTTTTAGATGTCACAAGTTACAGAGGTACATGTACTTTGTGAAACTGTTTACCTAAGTAACTTGCATTGGCGTGACTTGATTGAAAGTATCGGTTATAAATCCATAATGTACTCAACAATAATGCCCTGAATCTTGTGGAACAGGATACAGAATTGCTTGAATGAATATAAATCTAGTCATTCTAGTGTTATAGGTTATAACCATAAAATTGTGATGTTTTTAGATGAGTATTAGTGAATGGAATGACAAAATTATTTGGTCAAAATTCCATATTCTTTTACTGCTAGATCTTCATTATTTTTCCTTGCCCTTAGCCTTATCATGCATCTGAATTTCTTCATTTTTTTTCTAAGTGAAACATTCTATGTGGAGTATTCTTTGTGAAGAAGGTCTCAACATGACTTTCGTATGCTCTCAGGACACATCCCTGCAGCATCTTGGTTCTTTTCCTACTGCCTAGAACATGCCAAGAAATCCTAGCAACATTTGTAATGTTTGGAGAGCAAGAGGAAGGACAGGAGGAGGAGATAGAAGTGTGCCAAGGATTTGGTCATCAAGGTCACAAGGTCACAGTACAATCTCTACAGGAGACTGATACTGAAACATTTCATATCATTCAATATCCTTAATCCTGAATTATGCAACACGTGGCGACTGTTGCAGTCACATGACTTCACCGTTACCCTCTCAATTCGTAGTTCTTGCAGTATTGTGCTCCCCCGATTCCCGACATTTCACAGGTGTAGTAGGTCCATAATTGTAAACTGTCTGCAGTTGCTTCTGCTGCACATGTTCTTCCCTAATCTCTCCCTCAGCTCAGTTAGCCTTCATACCATGTGCTAGCTGTAGACCTTGTATGGTCTATGTACCCTAGCTTGCTGCCTGTCTCTGTGCAGGCTGTGACCGGTGTATCTGCTGTGTGGTTGCTAGGGGTAACCTGTTCTACTGGCGCTGGGAAAATCCCCTGACTCATAAAGAGGAATAAAGACAAAGTGTCTGGACCCTTCTCAACTTGTCACATCTTTTAAAACTAATTGATCTATTTCTTTTGTTGTTTTAATGACATGCTTGAGATTTTGTCAGGTACCTGACTGGGCAGAGAATGGAAAGGAACCTGTTCCTTTAAACCCCATTGTGGTTTAGTTACAAGTGCAATTATTGACAGTGTCAAGTGCTCTTGATTATTATCTGTGGAGCGACGTGTTTCCATGGATCATGACTTTTCATTTCATATCCAGTCATATGAGTGTACACTTCCATACTATCGCCTTGTGTGTGCCACATATTTCTTATGTTACACGTGTTAGAAATGTATAGTTTTTTTATAATTTTTTAATAGATTAGTAATACATAACATCTCTAAGCAGCATCGTGTTAAACATAGAAATCAGGGAGAACACTCAAAGTAAAACAGAGGATAAAGAATCTGCTTGTAATATGCTTTATAGGTTGGAAAGGAAACTCTTCTAAGAAACAAGATTTCTTTACCGTACAATGGCTAAGATTGGAAACGAGGCACATGCCAATGAGAATGTAACCGATCTCCCAGTGAGATGTCACCAATCTCTTTCTCCCTGCCAAAAGGGGTCTCTTTTCCTGTCAGATGAACTTGCCTGTACAGCCTTATTGATTTTCCTTTAAGTCCACTTGGTCGAGCGAGCATTTCGACACCCGCAAAATGCCGATAATGGTCGGATCGTTGAGAGGCAAGGTGCCGCAAAGCTAGATTTGTGGTCAGTCAGCTCAGGTAGTTTGCTCCACGCGCCATGACAGGGTATGTAAGACGTAGGAGACCACAGTGTTGGTATTTGAGGGATAGGTGGTGGTAGTGGGAGTGGACGTTCCTACCTCTCTTCTACTACCTACATTCTCTTTCTCTCTCTCTCTCTCTGGAGTGTGGTGTAGACATGGCAAGGACAGCCATACAGAAAAAAATATCATCTGTTTGGATCCAGAAGGGCCTTTAATTCCTATCATTATACACAGTTAACACCCTTCTGGCTCCAAGTCCAAACAGATGAAATTATGATAAACTGTTTAAATTCAAGTTTTCTGGTCATTGCTAATATCACGAATCCTGCTTCCTTCTTACCTGAAAGGTAGCAGGACATTTAATGCTTACATATCTTTAGTTTAGAGCTAGAATGGCGTTAACTATGAGCACTTTGCATGGCGTAAATGCCCTTTTGGTTCTGAGCAGATGATATATGTGAGTAACTTTTCTACAGGTGTGTGATATCAAGCACTCATCCTTAATCATCAAGGAAAATGATCCCTTCTGTAGTCTAAGGAATTCAATAAAAACTGAGCAACGATTCTATTAATAGTCCCACACTATTCTTTTAAATGCTGTAAATGCTACCAGTAGCCATGCATTATTCATATGTCATCCAGCTACCACTTACTGGTGTTGGTTGCCAGGAAATCTAATAGATACATATTACCTTAATCCCTCTGCACTTCTTAGGCAGGATTAGCTTAATCTCCTGTGGTATCTAATGGGATCCTTTGGCAAGGATAAGAAGGCTTAGGGTATTAGCCTAGCGTGCCAATGTGGATTTTCAAACAAAATTTGATATTTGTACTACCGGTACTTCATATTGCATTTGAGAGTATTGAGTGTGTGTTCGATCTGATCGGTTTTGGGTAGAATATATAAGGACTGGTACTGTTTCAAAACCTTTGGTCAGAAATGCTGTTTCATAGGTATTTGTTCACATCCACCACTCCCCCTCCCTCACCAAATTAAAACAAAATTGTGATTTTATTGGAACTGATCTAGGAAATGAAAAGTAGAACAGTTTTATCTCTAAAATAGAACATATGCCTTTATATTTGTTCAATGTACTGATTCATTTTTATTTGAATAAGTTTTATTCAAACATTTGTTTACATCTTGCATTTATGTATGCTACATAGTATCAAAATTAAATGCATTATGATAGAACATCTACACTTAAAATTCTCTTCTATCTACTATTTACATCAATTAATTATGGTATAGGATTTTGAAACTTGAGAATAGGATCGAGAGATTGATGTTGAGAGAGAGAGAGGGGGTGGGGGAGAAATAAATCTGTGTTCCCCATTAACAGGTTGTTGCACTAGATGGTAAAGCACTAATCTCCTTGCCAAATATTTTCTCTGCCCGAAATAACCCTCTGTTGGCTAAATTTGGTTGGACACTCAGTCAGCAATCACAGAGCTACATCATTCAGGAAAAAAGCTCAAGTTTGAATAGCTTAATAGGCTGATAACAGAGCTCTTTGAGTGTTTTTGCTTTGTTGTGATATTATATTTGAACTTGAGGGCCAGGAGAAGCAGTCTTCCATCTGCAAACAATCTAAAAGACAGATGATGTGAGGTGAAACACGTATACAGGAACTGAGTCCAGCGCTCTATGCATTTCCGCTGCGATGATTTGTGTAAAAGAAGTATTCTTCAAATGTTTTAAAATACTGGCCGCTGTCCAAATGTACTGATGACATAATTTGAATCTTTGTTTACTTTTCACATCAAAGTTAGTATGTTTAATATGGAGATATACTTGTTAAACAGAGAGAGAGAAACAATCTTTCATAAACCAAGAGAGAGCAAGGTTGTAGGTATATATTGTAAATCCTGGATGGTTGCCAATATTATGAGGATGCTGAATGTATATGTTTCAATTCTTTCTGTTTTGTTGAACTGTACAGTGCACTCTTCTGTCGTTCAGTACAATATAGATATAGATGTAGTGTACAGTTGAATGGTTTGCCTTGATCAAAAACCTCTCCCCTTCCTCAATAAATAGATTTTGTGCCCATTCCATGATAATTTATTATCATCATTTGTTTATATTCCTTGTATTTCATGTATTATAAAATTATGTTGTAATTCTCAGTATGATATACTCCTGTACCTCCACTAACCCCCGCTCCCCATATCCTTAAACATATCACAGAACACAGAGTTTCTTTGAAAACGGAAGTTTGCTTAAGAGTTTGTAATCACACGTTCAAACAGTGAAGTCCAAAGTAGAATCAACAGAAGCCAATAGTGGGTGCAACTTTGAGAGCAGTTAAAATCTTGAGGCCTACTTTAGGAAATAGATTAGTTTGTAGATTTATTGCCAAGATAAGATGGAGATCGGTATTGAAGAGCCTTCCTGTGTTTGAACTTTGTTTGAAAGGACAACATGGGGTGTAAACAGTTCTATTGATGCTTTTTTTAATTGAAAAAAAAAGATTAACTTACAGGTATCCATTAATCTTGTAGCCTATATGCTCTGTGTATGGATTCTAAAACTAGAAGTTTGATGGCATCATCTGTTAAGAGCAAGAAGGGCATTGAGTCTTCTGTTTTTCCACACAGAGTTTAATTGCCTTCTGGCTTTAAGCAGCCAATATTTTTACCAGTGATACGGATAATACCAACAATTTTTAGCAGTAATGATTGCAATAGTAAACTTGAAGTAAATACATTGTAGTTACGCATCCCCTACCCACAAATTACAAGCTTCATCAATATGGTGTTTCTGCGTAAGATAATTTCTTTTAACGTGATACCATGATACAGTGTACCTGTATATTCCAATATTCAATAGCAACACAAACAATGCTGCACTTGATGTAAGAGTTGAACCAAGCAACATGTTTTTAAACACTTTTTTACAATTTGTTAACAATTTCTTCTATCTTTTTCTTCTTCTTCTTCCAGGACCCAAACCTAAGGACCAGGAATCTCGTCTGATGCCCCCTCCCATCATCAACACCGGCCACCCTCATCCCTTTGGTGAGATCAACCCCCATCATCCCAACCATCACATCGGAAGACAGCAGTCGTATCAGAACCAGGGGCGCATGCCCAGATCATACCCTCTCAGTCCTACTTCGGGATCCTATGGTAAATATATTCTCACCTGCCTTAAGAAAGATAGAAAAATTGTATGAGTTGACTCTCTTCTGGGTCCCAACAGACGGAATCACTTTCTGAAATGTCATAACATTGCTTAGATTCATCAACTTCTGGAATATTCTCAACCCAAAAGTGGAAAACAAAAATTTCGCCTGCTTGGAGTCACAGGGGTGTTCATTATATGTTAAAGTACTGATATAATGATTTACCGTAGTGCTCTCATTGCTCCAACCAGGCTTTGAGATTGACTTAATTAATAGTTACATTTAAAGAGAGGATTGGGCAAAGTGTGAACACTGTCTGAAAAATTAGGGAACACCATGGGAGTGCTTAGCTTGGAGCACTTTTTAGGAGGAGGATGAGGAGGAGAGAGGAGGAGAGAGAGGGAGAGATGTAGATGGAAAGTGTGCAATGTGTAGTGTGCTAACATGAATCTGCTCTCATGTGCTGATTATGCAGGGTAAGGTCCCGACAGAGATGAACGTACGGTCATTGACACACGAGGGGGGGAATGCACACTGATGGTGATGTTTTTGCTTTGAATTTTTATGGAAATTCTAGTTTTTTTGGCGATTGTTTTTTGGGAGAATGAAGAGAGGAAGACCAGTGACCATGCGGGAGGATGGAGGAAGATTTGTTTTGTAATGGATCCTTTGTTTCTGTTTTGGTATGATTATGAAGCAAAATGTAATAAATACCAAATAGCTGCAAAAAGGCTTCGAAGCTTAAAAAGTGCAAATGAAATGAAAGAATTTCAAGTTAGAGATTGGCGGGATGCTATCAAGAGGGATACATTAATGCGATTAGATAAGGATAGATAAGTAGCAACATGAGCAACATACAGAGAGTGTGTATATGATGAAGATGGATTGAAGGAGTAGTGATAAGGGATACTAGAAATAGGAGACATCCGATGAGTCATTATTGGAAGTTGTTTATGATGCATTTCATGAAGGAATAATCAGAAAAATTGTTTCAAATTAGGTTTCATTCCTTATTACCCCAATTTTTCATAATATAGAGAGGGAGACCTGAAAACAGCTATTATAATCTGTTGTGAAATTCATTTCCAGATTTCTAACAAAAATTCATGTACCCGTAAACCAATCAATTAATAGCCAATGGAGATATGCAGATGAAACTTTTCTTTCTTCTGGAATCGGTGGTTCAGTTTTGAATATGAAATCCATAAAGTTAAAAATTGATTTCAATCGGTATTATGCTTAAATATCACAAAACACAGAAAGATTTTAAGGATGGCTTTGTCTGCCTTCGTACCAGGTGGCAATCCATTGACGTTATGGTTTTGCTAGCTGCGGTCTGACTACTCAACAAGTCAGAAATTACTCTAAACAACAACGAAAACAAGAGATGAGTGAAAATATGATAAAGAAAAGAGAACAAAAATACAGGACATGGATTAAGATGGACAAACATATGGAGAGACATTGTGAAGCCATTGTTTCTCTTGTCTGTAGCCGAAAGCAAAAATCAATTTGAGTGTGGAACATAAGCGCTGAGCCTGGCGGAGTGCTCTAGAGATGCGTCTGATTAGTCGGAAGGAATCTTCAGTCTGTGGTCACCAAATTTCATTTTGTTTTGATTTTTCCACACCAACATTTCTTCTACGATCAATCGCTGGACTTTGAACCAATTACGCAAGACAATGGCGCGCTGTTGTCTCCCCAGTTTCCAATGACAATGTTTCCATCTCGAGTGTTTTTCTTCTCCGTCTTTTTTTTCTGCGATCTAGCCTGTATTCGTTTCGTTTCCTTTCCAACATCCTTTAGGCTGGGTGTTATTCTTTGGCGAAACAGATGCAGAAATCGAGAAGAACATGAGAATCAGTCGACGCAATGGCGGTGGCTTAATGCTACTAAATGTCACCGCTGTCTGCTACACGTGTGGAGGTGGTGCTGATATCGTTACAAAGCTGCAACCCACTTCTCTCTCGATTCCCTCTTTGGAATATTCCTTCTTGTACTCTCAGAGTATTTAGTTATTCCAGGCTTGACAGGAAAGGGATTGGGCTGAGATAGTTCTACTGATGCCAAACTAACACCATTAATGGGAATATAATGTCACAGAATATTATTTTTTCTAACAAATTATTGTGGCTTTGATACTTTATTCTTGGAATAAAATTGTTTAAATGTTAACAGAATATATCTTTCCCTCAAAAAAGGATTATACTTCGTATTTAGTACAATATATGAAATTAAAAAAAATGCTATTTATTGCCTGCTGTCAGCTCCATTAGTTTGAGCATGTTTTCAATCATCATCTTGTGAAATCACACTCTCTTGTCAAATTAAAAGAAAAATAATAAATACTAGTGCTACTTGGAGGTGTATCTCTCTTGTGCTGACAATTCTTATTGTCCATCTCATGAAGAATAAGGGCATAGTAGATTTTCGATTAGCAGTTACCTGGTAATGGTAAAAGGGCGAAAGGGCGAAAGTAGAGGGTGGGTTGAAACAGCAACGGCAGACGAAAATATAAACTTACGAGGTGACAAATCAAACATCGTTGCTCATCCTTGAAGGGAGCTGGGAAATATCAATTCTTAGCTATATTCTCAGGGCACGCCTCCTGTAAAACCTATTTTTGCACCTGATAATTTTGGCACCCTTCCTCATGAGAAAGTATGAAAAGTGGGTTAGGTGCTGTCAAGGAGAGTTATGTCTTTCTGGTTCAAGATAAGGGCACATATGTTCACTATGCAACCACATTATGACTGGTCACTAGGCGGAGGCTCAAAAGAATCATCAAGATTTGTGAGCAAGAGTTCAGACCTTTTCGTTGATTGGCAAATGTCCAGGAAAGTCACCAAGTAATGTAGTAGGCTACCGTTTTTTGCACTTGGCATGTTTTCAGAAAATTGTATTTTTAAAAGATTTTACAAGTTTATACCTTTTTTGAGAGTTTTGTTTTCCTCCTTTAACCTATTGAATACTTTGTTTGGTTTAATTTATGTTAATGCATTTTCATCTCTGATGTCTTAGAGAATGCGGTTGGGGATTTATTCTATAACAAAAATTCATAGAAATTCCCCTACAGTGAGTGCAATCTCTTTCATGGTTATTATCAAGTGACATTCTTCAAGCCATCAGTTGAAAAATGACACCTTCCCATCCGATGTGAATTTGAGCCCTGATTAGCATCCCTATGATGAATTGCATGTCCAAGTCAAGAATCTTGCATGGGGAATGAGAAAAATATGGCCATATCCACCCCCTCCATCACATCTCCATTTTCATGAGTCCCTAGCTTCTACTTCTAATGGCCATAGCTGGATCCCATGACGCTCTTGGCATAAATCACTTGAGGCACACACAGTGTCCCCCTTTCCTCTAGCCAGTCACGTCACGATTCCCTGATTGTATAATAGCCACCCCCGTCCATTTAGGCATTTAGGACCGGGTTCACATGAGAGCCGTACGTCTTCCAGGAGAGTGCGCGAGCGTCAGAGCGTACCGTCTCCGCAGGCCAATTTGCCGGGCGCTTGCCTACCCTTTGCCCCTACCCTCGGAACGGCAACAAGCGAGTAATTTCTCGTTCTTTTGTTGGTCCGCGTGGCTCCCTTTCGTCGCGGCTGAGGAGGCAGAGAGGAGATTGGCCCCAAACCTCTCTTTCCAATGGGTACCCTTTGCTATTCCTTTCGCCTCATTGCACAGTAACATACACCCTTGTATTACCCTTCTACGCTCCCTACCTCCCTACCTTTCTCTCTCTCTCTCTCTCTCGCACAAAGCAACCGGAAATGGACTTCTGTGGGTCTCCCCTCTCTTTCACACCAAATCTTCATAATTAATGAAGCTTCCAGGGTCGCTTTGATTGTAAGTGTATGCTGCTTGGTGTGAATAGAGGTCCTCTTTTCTTATTCATAATTGTGATTATTTTCATTGATACCGATCAAGAGCCAGACTCTTTCACCTACCAGACATCTGGAGTACAATTTCTATCATTTTTTTTTTCGGGCGGGGGAGGGGAGGGGACAGAAATAATTGCTCATATGGCAGGATGCATACACAATTATAGACAGGATATATTCATCATTCTTAGACCCAAAATGGTAGTCAAGAATGGCAGGTCTGAATGAACTTTTCTGCTCCTGATTAATAGACTCAATCACCTATTGTGTCATTATTGAAGTGCACTTTTTGTGTCACTTCCTGTTTATGGAATTTAAAACTTTTTATCCACAAAAACTATTGTGCTCTGAGTATGAAAATGTCTCGGGAACATGATAAATGGGTGTTTTAAAACTGTTTTTGCTTTATTGATTGATTCAATAACATAACAATAAGCCAGTTATATCCAGTCCTTAACCTACATCCTTTGTTTTGGACTGAGGGACTTCCTCTCTTCCAAGATTTTGATAACCATATATGCACGGCAGAGCCCTAAAATAGCTATTCCAATTTGAAGGCTTTTAAAAATAAATGCAACAAAAACAACATTTTAATCTGCAAAGAAAACACAGGAATCCGGTTCAATGCCATTTGAATGTTCATGTTTGTTTTTGGAACGATACATTATCTGCATAACTGAATGTACTTTGAAATTCAGCTGTAAAGTTGAAGGTATTGATAATAAAGAAAAAAAGAGGAGTTTGCATCAGAAGATTATGATGAAAAGGGTTCATAAAGTGACCATGTAATGATGCTTTGACTCTGACTCTCTCTTGAGAACCAGAAGGGGGTTATCTCACATTCTGTAACCCAGAGTTTATGTCCTTCTGGCTATTAAAAAGATAATTTAATACACTCAAAGAAAGAATCTGCTCAGCCTTCCTTCAATCCATACTAACAAAAAATCATCACTGGCAACAGACTTCAAGCAAATCTCCAGAAACATATATCCAAAAAAGTGCATTGTATATTTTCAGGCAAATAGCAATCTTAACTGTATCAAGCACTTTCTGATGCTATCTGCTTGCACTTTTTAAAGTGCAAAATACTTTGATTTCATCTCCCTGCATTTCT